GGGGAGAGGAAGACAAATGAGGAGGAGGGACAGATGGCATGGGTATGGAGCTACCGATGGTAGGGAATGCAAGGACCAGCAGCCACAGGACCAGGGTGAAGGGAAATCAGGACTGCACTCTCTCAGGGATATGCACTATTTGTCTTTCTGAGTCTGCCTTATTTCACTTTACATGATGACTTCCAGTTTTATCCACTTTCTTGCTATCTCATAACTTTTTTCTTTTTATGGCTAAATAAAACACCATTGTGTATATAAGGCATATAGTCACCCCTTGAAGGGTGCCTAGGCTGATTCCTTATCTTGGCTATTGTGATCAGTGCTATTGTAATCATGGATGTTCATGTCTCTATGATTACTGAATTAGTCCTGGTGTATATGCCCAGGGGTGATAACAACTGTGCATGGGTAGCTTTTGAAGGAACCTCATATGATTTCAATAGTTGCTTGGGCTGCTTTTTTGAGGGTTCATTACACATGAATTCTGGTGAGAGCCAGTTGGGCAATTCTGAGTAAAGAGCATGTGTCCTGCTTAATTCACTGTATTAGGACATTTACTCATAAATCAAATACAGAGAGGAAATAAAACTAACTGGAAATGCTTTATTAAATTAGTTGTACCCTTAAGTCATTTCCTTATTTGCTTTGTGAAGTATTTGTTTTGGGGCGATACCTGTGTACACAAACACACCTCCCTGTCTTTCAACAGGGACACCATTCACAGAACAAACATGCATGGAGCAGTTGGAGTCATTATGAAGAAGACCTATACTTTGGGCCCCAAGAAATTACTTTGCTTGGAAGGAAAACATACTAAATACATACTGTACCCCATAGCAGTCAGGGACTTCTACCAAGCAGACGCCCAGAGAGGGAGCAGGGTCAATAAAACTTTGTAGAGATGACTGTTCCACGTGTACATATAAAGGTGAGTGTGGGCAGAGCCTGGGCCACTTCTCATTGAAAGAGGGGACTCTACTTGCTGATTCTCTGGGTTTGATAAAGTACTGGACAGTTAAAAACTTTTAGAGCGGCCCAAATGAAAAAGAAACAGCAACCAAACCAAAGACCCAAACAGAATTAAACACAATTGGAAGTTATTCAAAGGTGTCCAATGCCCTTCACAAACTGAGACACCCTAATCCCATGGAAAGATGAGGGAGGAAATATATCAGGTTTTTGTGACCTGAAGTGAGTCACTTTATTCTCTGGGCCTCAGTTTCCCTGCATCTGAGGAATGAGGTCAGTAGAATGACAAAAAAGCCTCAGCAAGCCAGAGCCCAATGTTATCTGTTGAGATCTGGGGCTAAAAGTCACCTGTGAAAGGTAAAATTATGTCACACAGTGCACAGCATCCTCCTCACCGTGCTACAGGCTCGGGCCACAAAGTGAGTAAGCACCCTAATAGTGCTGCAGGCTCAGACTACACAGTGCACAGCGTTCTCATGGTGCTGCAGGCTCAGGTAGGTAGGTAGGGCACATGAAGTCATTGGCATTAGCCTTTTTATGGTGAACCAATCTGAATACAAAGGGTTTGGCATAATCCTAAATGTTCCTCTGTTCATGTTTTTAGCAGATGAAGACTTGGGATTTAGCTCCCATACAGACACCTACAATCTGTAACCTCACATGCAGCTGGTGCTCATCCTCCCACATACCTGAGTTAATATTCCCCACTTTCTCCCTCCTCCTCCTCCTTTTGAAAACTTACCTGTGGAAGTGATTGGTATCAGGCCACAGAAACCAAATGGCACACACAACATTAAAGGTGCAACGCTGTACGGGGAGCTGGTTTGACATCTTTAGCAAGGGATAAAGAAAATGTGTTCTTCTAACAGGCAAAGTGACACGGGCCTGTAATCTCAGTGCTTGTCTGGCTGAGACAGGGCAAGTGCAAGATCGAGGCCAGCTCGGATTACAATAGTGAGTTCCTGGCCAGCCTGGATAATTTAGTGAGACCTTGTCTAAAACCATAAAATATGAAGGTGCTAGGAATCTAGTTCAGTGGTAGAGTGCTCACTTAGCATGTACAGGGTTCTAGGTTTAATTACCAGGAAAGAGGAGAGAGAGCGAGAATAAAAAGGAAAGTGGGGAGGGAAAGGGGCCAAATGGGGAGATGGGTTTCTGCTGCTTCTGCATCTAATTGGAATTTTATTGGCATCTCTGTGTCTGCAGCACCCTGCAGGTGGTCCAATCAACCTGCTCCAGGGGGCCGCCTTCTGACCTAAGCCTGAGCTCTAAGCCTACGGCCATCAGGGCAGCAGACAGATACCATGGCTACAACATCTACGTGTCATGTGGGAGCCTCCTGCTGGCATCTGGCAGATGCTTCGTCATCACTGCGCACACCTCCCCTGGCTCCCACAGAAACCTCTCCGGATTCAAATTAGCCAGTTCCAAAGCCTAAGTGAGGCCGCACTGTCACTCTTTTGAGTCCATTGAGACTCATTCTATCCATCTGTGTGGACACTGACCAGCTGCCAGGGCGGCAGTCACTTAGTATTTGACACCCATTGCCAGAGGCCGTCCACCTGACTTGAGCCAGGCACTGACAGTTCAGACGTGCTCACCCTGACTGCCCTCTGTCAGTTTTCCAGGCTGCAGTAGCCCTCGGGCTGGCCTTCAGCAGCCGCAGCTGCTGGGGTAGAGCAGTGGGATAGGTTTGTGAAGCGTGTCCCCGCCCTGGGGACAACAGAGGCTCACTACCCTGGTATAGTGCTTGCATGGTGTCAGAGGGCCATACATCCCTATTTTCTCAAGTTCTCTCTCTGCCTTTGCCTGTAAGCGCATATGCTGGTCCCTGGGATTCATCATATCATACATATAACCTCTGTACTCAGAAGCTTAAATGAGGCAGCTTTTTACCCGAGGGCTCCGAGCATCCAGTGTCATCAGCAAATTCCAAACACCAGCTAAGATTCTTCCAGCTCACTTTTAACTTTCATGATTGAAATATACACTACCATTTGCATTTCTAGGGCTGTGTTTTTACTTATTTCTTTCAAATTACATAAACATGCATATATGTACTTTGATCATTTCCTCCCCATTACCCTCCCTTCCCTACTTTCCTCTCTGTGTATGTGTTTGTGTATGTGTGTGTGTGTGTGTGTGTGTGTGTGTGTGTTTGTGAATGCACAAGCATGCTCCAGTGCATTTAATTAAGAGTTGCTTTTGCAAGCATAGGTTAGGGGCAGTTATAGACTTGAGTCAGGGCAACATAACAGAGGCTACATCACTGAGGAAAATGAACTCCTCTCCACCGTACACATTTGCCTTTTGTTTAGTATTACATGATGCTTCATTACCCAGTCTAGATAATGTAGAGATAGTAGGAAGGAATTTAAAAATCGATCTACCCCCCCCTAAGTTTTTTCGTTTTTTGGAGACAGGGTCTTCCTATGCAGTCCTGGTTGTCCTAGAACTCTGTATGTAGACCAGGCTGGCTTTGAACTCACAGAGATCCACCTGCTCCTGCTTCTCAAGTACTGAGATTAAAGGCATGAACCACTGCACCTGTCAAAACCTTTTCTTTACTTGTAATTCAAGTCCCCAGATCAACTGTGAAATGGTCACTGCAGCCTGTGAAAGGACTGCTGCATACTAACTCAGTTCTCAGAGACTGAATTTCTGTGACTCATCTCTTCCCTTTTCCCGTGTGAGTAACTGTTGATATAGCTGAGTTCTTTGTGTGCAGGGAACCCCACAACCTTGTTTTATCTGCGATAGAATCTCTTTGTAAATGTGGTATTTTGAAATGAAATTGGTTTTGATAGAGGATGATGCTCCTCATGCTTGAGAAAGAAAAACAGACTGATAATTGCTGAACCACACACACACACACACATCTTTTAAACTCATTTTAGCAACAAGCAGCACAATTAATTAATCCATTTAACACATTTTCATTGTGCCCCTATTAGAATAGGTAGCAACACCCTAATGACTAGATGAAATGTTTTTGTCATTGTTAGAGGGAACATGGAATCTTCCCGGATGAGAAGCAAGTTCTGTGCCAAGTACATGCTACCCTTGGTGACCCAGGAACTTCCTGGGTCTAAGAGCATCACAGCATGTGGGACGAGCTGACCTTCCTGCACCAAGCAGCCAGAGTACCTCTGGTAAGCCAAGGAGTATCTGTGTGCTTCAGTTTCTCTATCTGTATAGGATGCTATCCCAGTGCTACTTCAGGGGTCTTTGGGCAGGGGTGTAATGTGCTTATTCTGGCTGCCAAGGAGCAACCTTCAGCTGGTACAGTGATGCACACCTGCTGTTTCCCTATCCAGGAGGACTGCTTGAGCTCAGGGGTTTGAGGCCAGCTTGGGCAAGATAGCAAGACTTCATTTCAAAAACAAACAAACAAACAACCCCAAACCTTTTCAAACTAAACTCAAGAAATGATAACATTCAATGATTCTGCCTCAAATATATTTTTAGTGATCTTTATAAATTAAGACCATTTACTATATCTGTTGGAACTGTTAGTAATTTTTAACTGGATATATCTAGATCAAGGCCATTTTTATGCCTTATATTTCTCTTGAAAATTGTAAACACTAAAATTTGCTTGGCACAGGCACTTCCTCCTAAGATCTCTGTGCCCTACCTTGGTGCTAGTTTCTTCCCCAGCTGCTGAGCAGGTAGGCCTCACCCTCTTTCTCACTGTCACAAGACTCACTTCTCACCTGGAGAACTGTGCCGATGACTTCCTCTCTAATGTTACACTTCACTTCCTGTTATTTCCCATCTGGCATCCTCCCTCTCACTGCCTTCCCCGATGCTTCCAATGAGTGTGGACCTCTCCTCAGGATGAAATTCCAGCTGAACCAAGTATCATTAATAATTCACCATCTTCACACATCCGGTACGTGTCTTCACACAGAGCACTCATGTTGCGTGAACCCAAGCTAAAGAGCTTTTCCAGCAGGTACTTGATGAGGAGTCTTGGCAGAGTACAAGAGAGCCACCCCTAATGCTCCCCTACAGGGGGTTAGGAACAGGCCAGGAGCAGAAATTTCTTTGAGAGCAAGATTCCTGTGGCTACTGATGGTGCTGTCAGGTAAGCAAGGCAGGTATCCTAGTCCAGGTAACCAGAAACACAGCCGGGATGGCAGTTTCCAGAATGTGTCACATATGTGTATATCCCCACAGTGCAGGTAAGGTGGTTAGATCCAGGCCCAAGCTCTTGTGTGTTCCTGCAAGCACTTTTGGAAACACCTTTGATGCTGGATGTCTGAGATGACCAGATGACGCCTGTGCCAGCAGAGGAAATGAATTGACTGTTGGTACTCACCCACCCCTCAGGGACAACATCCGCTTCTCATCACATAGCTTCAGATCCCGTTTTGTGAATGAGGTTTGACTCAGACAACTAAGGGGACCTCTGGCACATCCTTTATGCCTGCTCTAAAGGGTACCAGGGCCGTATGCCATATTTTACTTGGCACAGGACAGCTCCCTGACCTCAGGACTCACCGGTAGCCCTGGAGCACTTCTTCGTGTGTGTTTGTGTGTATGTATGTGTATGTATGTATGGCTATGTGAGCAGGTGCACGTGCACATGGAGGCCTGAGGCTGACTTTGGGGCTCTTTGGTAATTGCTTTCCATCTCATATATTCTCTTGCTTGAAGCCAGAGCTTGGTGATTCATTTAGTCTATTGAGTCAGCTTGCTTTGGGGATCCCCTCTGTTCCCAACACCCCCTCACCTTCCCATGCTGGCATTACAGGTGGGCCACTACACCTTCCCAGCATTTATATGGGTGGTAGGGAATCCAAGGTCCTTACACTTGAGCGGCAAGAACTTTCCCCACTGAATTGTTTTCCCGGGTTCCTGGGGGGAAGCTTTTGACTCTGTTTATTCCCATGCAAAACTGCACCAGTCTGCTGAACACTGCTGCCTCCTCCAGGAGGAAGCATACAGCTGATCTCAGGGAAAGCGTGCTTTTGAAATTTTAAGACACACCAAAATCTGCATACTCCACAGTGCATTGGGATATAATTTTAAGTGTGATTTTCCTTCCTTGCCTAGCTGGGTCATGAGAGCAGTGTTGTGACTGCCTTGTTTTTGACGGCAGACTTTATACCTAGGAAACATGATCTGAAGGACAGTGAGCATGCGCATGTCCTCCACAGGTGCCCACACAGATGTTTACCAGTCCAGGAGGATGCACAGCAGATGTGTGAGCGTCTGCATTAACAAACCTGCCCTGCCCTCTGGTCCTTTCATCTTCACTATGGGTGACATGATGGCATGCGCCATCCCTGACTCCCTATGGCTTCTCCAGGAAAGCTTCAGCCTTCTCTTTTTCTGCCATGCCTCAGCAGTAAGTCCCAACCAGGAAAATTCACACTCCCTGCCCCTCCTACCACGTTCTTCCAGACTCATCTCCCGAGACAACGACAATACAGGGTTCTTACCAAGGAGTTGTTACCAAGCTACACTGCGAGTAGGGCTGGGACCAGCTGGCAGAGGTGCCTTTGCTACCCTGGTACTGCTAGAAAGCAGCAGCCCTTTCTTCAGGTGGGTTTCATCCGTCTGTCCCCTCCCACTTATCTCCTTGCTACACCTGGCTGACTTCCTCCCATTCTTCTGCCCTCCAGTATTCTAAATCTTGACTTTATTTCTCCTCATTCATTTGTATACTGTGAGACTAGAAGTGTTTATTTGGGAAAAGGATAGGTCAGTACGACTCCTTTGGGTTGGCATTGAGCTATGCTGCCCTTTCCTGAGGGCTAATGAATGACTAAGCAAACAACTCAACAAGGATTTCTACTTGGCACCAAGACAGCTGTGTGGTGGCTGTGGACAGCTGCATTCACCTTTGACAGTGTTCACTCACAGGCACAGTCTCTTCTGTACCTGCTTCATGACGAAGTGCGTAAGTGTAACACCTGGAGTGCCCACATCCAGGCAAGCTACCTCTTGTTCTCCCCGCATCCCCTCCCTTGCCTTTTGCAGCATTTCCTTCCCCTCCAGCCCACTGGAAAATGTCAACTGGTTCTGCCTCACCCAAAGATGACATGAGCTATATGCATCCCCAAGCATCTTACTTGGCTTTGGCTCTCAGATTCACTGGGGAGGAGGGAGGCAGAAATCACCCCCCTCCCCGTCTCACCACCAAAGAGCACCTGCATTCATGAAAGTCTGTGCCAAATCCCTACCTAGTCACACTGATGATGCCATCTTGCACTGATGGCCTTGTCCTGTACCTATAGAAGGGCTGACTGTGTGTTAGCTATGCCTTTCAACTTCCCAGTGTCTGGATGTACGGGGCTTTGTTCATCCTGGAGCACCCTCAAGGGCTAACTCATTCCTAGTAGTAATGAGAGGTTTGGTTCCAGGTTTTCATCACAAGCAACCAATCTAGAGGCCATACCTTAGCCATATTCTACACCTAGATCAGACTCTTAGCTGGCAACTGTCCACCTGCTAGGCTCACCACAGGACTGAGTAGCAAATAACTGGGGACAGCCCCATGCCTCCACACTAGCTGACCTATGCCTCATCTAGTCTCTTCTGAAGAAACTACAATAAAGGGACCTGCAAACACTGTCCCCTTCCTCCTGCTTTCTGGTACTTCCTCATATGACCCTGTGGGGTGTTGTGTGATCTCTCCTCTTCAGAACCGTGCACATTTTTCTTACTGACATCTGCAGATCTCTTGGCTCTACTCTACCTGGAAAAGTGTCAAGTTTACATTTGAGAACACTGGGTTCCTCTACTGCCTTCAGCACTGATCTATGCAGCAGCTGGCCTCGTCACATCACCTCCAAACTCCAATGGCAGGAGGGAACTGGGCTCCCTGCTCCTGAGCCCCTCCAGTTCAAAGGCTCAGACCCAGTCACAGAGTCCTTCAAGGCCCTCTTGAGCCTCACGGAGGTCACTTCCAAAACACCTCTCCACTCAAACCGTCAGGTGAGTCTGCTGTGCCTCACTGCACACAACCCAAAGCGTAGTGACTGCCTCTGCCCAACAGGGTAAGAGGACAGATCTTAGCGCATGTGTGTGCTGGGTAGTTTTATGTCAACTAGACACAAGCTAAGTCTTCTGAGAAGAAAATGTCTCCACAAGATCAGGCTGTAGGAGAGCCAGTAAGTAGCAGTCCTGCCGCTATGATCTTGTCCTGTTTGAGTTCCTGTCCTGACTTCCGTCAGTGATAAAGAGTGACATGGAAGTGTTAGCCAAATAAACCCTGTCCTCCCCAAGTTGCTTTGGTCATGGTGTTTCGTCACAGCTACAGAAACTCTGACCAGGAAATCATCAGTACCAGAATAGTGGAGTGTTGGTGTGACAGACCTGACCAAGTATTTTGGGATGACCACAGAAGGATTTTGGAACTTGGGGCCAGAAGAGCCATTGGGTATTCTAAGTTTCATGAGCTGTGGAAGCTTGGAAGATAAACATGTTGTGAGCAGTGCAGACAATGGAGACCTGGCTTGTGAAGTTTCAGAGGAAGGCAAAGACTCTAACAGGAAATTTGTGTGAAGAATTTGTGATGTCTGACCAGCTGGTGCTGAAGAATCAGTGGAATTAAGGTAAAGTCTTCTGAAAAGTGTTTTCTCAGTGCCAGTCTGGTCTACGGAACTAGTTCCGGGATAGCCATGGCTACATAAAGAAACCCTGTCTCAGACTCCTCCCTCAAAAAAAAAAAAAGTAAAGTTAGTTTTGATTCTATACTACCTCACAGTTGAGACTTTCAACTTTAAAAGAGACTTTCTTCATTAGTGACTGATAGGGAAAGGGCCTAGTCCATTGTGGGTGGTGCCATCCTTGGGCTGGGTCCTGGGTTCCATAAGAAAGTAGGTTGCACAAGCCACAGGGAGCAAGCCAGTAAGCAGCACCCCTCCAAGGCCTCTGTATCAGCTCCTGCCTCCAGGTTCCTGCCCTGTGTGAGTTCCTGCCCTCACTGCTTTTGATGATGAACTGTTATATGGAACTGTGAGTGACATAAACCCTTTCCTCCCCAAGTTGCTTTTGGTCATGGTGTTTCATCATAGCGATAGTAATCCTAAAACAAACCTCTTTCTGGCTTGTTTATGGGGCCATAGTCTGGGGGTTACCTTTCACCTGCATTCTCTATTTCAGGAGAATATGACTTGTTTGTGTGCAGGTGCCATATCTAGAATAGCAAAATGGGTAGGCACTCAAATAATAGCCGCCTTTCCTTTCAGATTTTTCTGTGTTCTGTGTTTTCTGAGATGTAAACTTCCAAGTCTACGGTTTTTGGCCCTCATAATACCTTCCCCCAGGAATGTGTGAATTTTGTCTGTGAGCTCATCCTGTCAAGAATTTTCTTCCATGTGAGCCTCGTGTGCCTCCTTAGGAGGCTTTGTTGACGCTGGAAGGTCAGATCTCAGCCTTGGCAAGTGTTTAAAATCTGTGCATGCATGTGCACACACAAGCATGGTACAGACTTCAAAGCTTTGCTTTTGTTTCAGGGAGAATTTTTTTCAGTCTACAGTTCAGGGAGTCAGCCAGCTGTGGGTGGAGACCCTGTGGTGAGGAAAGCCTTTCTAGTCTTTGATTCTTGGCTTTATTCAAGGAGCTCAGTTCTAATTGTATACCAAGCCTGTATTTAGTCCTTTCTCTGTTGCTAAAACAAAATGTCTGTGCCAGGGCAATATAAAAGCCCACAGTTTCGAAGGCTAAAAGTCCAAGACTGGGCAGTCAGACCTCTGGTGAGGATCTAAGGTGGATGGAATCACAACGATAAAATGTGTGTGACAGAGATCACTTGGCAAGAGGGACATCAGAGAGATTTAGGGTTTAGGTCACTCACTCTGTGAGGCAGTGTCAATCCCTTCCACGGGCATGATCAGCCATGAGACCCGACTACCCTTCAACACCACTACACTGAAAACTAAGCCTTTGGCTTAAGAATTGGTGTGGAACAACCCATGGCCAAACCACAGTGAGTCTGTAGCGTCCCCATAGGCTCATGCTTCAAATACTTGATCCCCAGTTGGTGGCACTATTTTGGGAGGTTCTGAAAATGTGGGAGGAGGTAGGTTATTCAGGGTGAGTCCTTGGGGTTTATCCATGCTCACTTCCTGTCTCTGCTTCCTGGTCTACTTTACTGTGATGTGGACAATGTCTGCCACATACCCATAATCTGAGCGGCTCAGACATACCTTCCTACTGTGATGGACTGACACTCTCTGAACCAATGGGCCAGGGACTGATTTGAGGTGAGATCCTGTCAGGAAAAACATGTTAGCACTGTGTAAGTCAGTACCTGCAGTCAGGCATGGATGAGGTAGTACATTATGAAGGATACTCACGACCAGTAGAGCAGCATGAGCAGGAAGGGACAGATGATGAGGGCCTGAAGCACCTGCCAGTCCCGGCATAGTGCAGCCAGCCCTGGCATGAGGAACTGGCCTGCCATGGCCACGAAGCTTGCCACCATGGCAATCATGAACCGTTTTCCTGGAGGGCACAGCTCTATTCCTAGAAAACAAATAATACGGGAGATGTGAGTGCCGCTTGCTTGCCTGATAATTGGGCACAATCATCCTGTGCTAGGATGTCACTGGATACATGGGAGAACTGAGGCCTGATGGGGAAGAGCGTGAGACCATTGCTCAAGGTCACAAAATAAACTGGTGGGAGGGACATTGCATTAGTAAGTACCCAGCTCAGGGACAAAGACATGCTGCTTGTGGAGACAGAGTTTGCGTCTCATCATCCCCTTTCCTTTGCTCGTTGGCATTGCAAAGCTTGTGCTGCAGCAGGTGCCCTTGCTGCCCATGAGCCCACCTTCCCTTCCAACCTAGGATATGCACTGGGGACTCTCTCAGCCTCTGCATGGGTCACCAGCAGGTTCCCTGCTCACCCCCCACCCGCATGGCTGCCCTTGCTCCTGTCTTACAGCAGCACTCAGTGAAGACTTAAGTTCACCTTCACGGTGAAACCGGGACAGACTGACCACACTGCACAGACAAAGCAAAGCCACTTGCGGCACAGTATATCCTAGCAGGAATGCTCCTATGTCTAATTCATCAACAGAACCGTGGGATGGAAAAAAGTATCTGTGTTCAACCAAGACCCACTAAATGGAACAGACCACGATCCCTCTTGTCCACAAGAACCCATTCTCGGAATTGGACCATTTGTGTAAAAAGAAAGGTAAGTCTCCAAGCTTCAAACTGTCTGTAGCACTCATGGGACAATCAATATGGACCTAATACCTGAATCCCTATAATATTAGAAAAAGTAACTGGTTCTACACACACACACACACACACACACACACACACACACAGACACACACAGACACACACACACAGACACTCAGACACACACCTATAAACCATGCAGATTTATTTGCTGTTGTTTTTCTGTGATAGTCACCAAAATTTTCTTTCTTACTTTTTTTTTGGGGGGGGGCAGTTAACATGATTAAAAGAAAAAAATAAGAAAGGCCTCTTGGTAGAAAACACTCTTCTTGCCTTCATGTCCAGAGTCTGCTCAACAGCTTGGCCTTGTGGCTGGTTACAGTAACTTATCTGCTGGCTGTCCAGAGACCACGGCAGGGCAGGAGGTCAAAGGCAGTAGGCAGGGGACAGATGAAAAGGAAAGTGGATAAATCACACTTGGCTACGAGGATATCATCAGTCCTAAGGAGCACAGGGCACTGTGCCAGCCAGCATCTACACCACTCGCTGCAGAAGAAATATAATCCTGTCAGCAAATTCTGCTCCTTCCTGGCCACAAATAGTCATCATCATAGCGGCTGGCAAACAGGAGAAACCTGCTCTTACTGGATAGAGCTTATAGGGAACGTTTTGTCATTTAATTAGGAAAAGAGGATGGCAGGACCCTCCTGGGCTATTCGCTGTGATGCTATCCCTCTCTATGTTACAGCCTAAGTGACACTTCTTAGCATGGCTGGGTGTGACACTTCTGCTCTCCAAAATAATAAAGAAATGTCTTTTTCTGAATGGGCTAACAGTTGTGGTTAATAGTAATGGTTTTACTCATTATGCATAAGTAGACTTGTTATGGAAACCAGGAATCTATATCAGCCAGAGCAGGCTTAGTGCTGGAGGCCTGACAGACATCAGTTAAAAACAAAACAAAACAAGAGCCGGGTGGTGGTGGTGGTGGTGGTGGTGGTGGTGGTGGTGGTGGTGGTGGTGGTGGTGGTGCACGCCTTTAATCCCAGCACTCGGGAGGCAGAGACAGTCGGATCTCTGTGAGTTCAAGGCTGGACCGACAGCCTCCAAAACAATACAGAGAAACCCTGTCTCGTAAAACAAAAACAAAAACAAAAACAAAACAAAACAAAAAAACCACACCTATGCCTTTTTATAATAAGTCAGAGGGATGATTCTGGAGGAGCCTGATGGATTCATGCTACAGAGTTTGCTAGTACAACAGACTGCGTATTGCTTGTTACTGTCTCTTCACAATCTTTCTTTAATTTAGTGACACAATTTTGTGAAAACACCTACAACTGCAGTAGTGCTCCATAGTCTGTGATTTTGTTTCCCACACTGCAGTTTCCTATAGTCAACCACAATCTGAAAGTATCAAATGAAAATTCCATAAAGGAACAACCCACAAATTAAAAAATATGTATTTATAATTATTGTGCATGCATATGCTACACTATACATGCAGATGTCAGAGGACGACTTTGTGGAGAAAGTCCTCTCCTTCCACCTTTGCCTGGGGTTCTACAGGATCAAACCTAGGTTGCCAGGCTTGCATGGCCAATAGTCTTACCTGCTGAGCTATTTCACTGCTCTACAACCAGTTCATTTAAATCATACACAATTCTGAGAAGCAGGATGGAATCACTGGGGTGAATCAGCTCTCTGCCTAACATATCCAAGCCGTGTAAGTCACCTGCTAGCTAGTCACTCAGTGATGTCTCAGCTTTCAGATTGATTACCATGCCATTACATTTCACAGGCGTGAGTGTGTGTGTGTGTGTGTCCTTTCTCTGAGTGACATATCCACGGCATAAAAGTTACCTGCTTGCTAGTCATTAAGCGATGTCTCAGTTTTCAGACTGACCGCAATGTCATCACACACCATGGGTGTGAATCACCTCTGTCTGACATACCAAAACTGTATCCTGACTGCTTAATGGTAAGCAGTGTCTCAGTTTTCAGAGTAAGTGACATGCCATCCCATTCCATGAGAGTGAATTGCTCCTCTTTCCTACATGGCCACTCTGCAGAAGATCTTGTCCCTGGCCGTTCAGTGACATTTCACTTGACCAAAGGAACCTGTGGTACCACAGAGCTTGTGCTCAGGTCACCCTGGCTTTAAACATCATAATGGCCATGAACCTAAAGAATAGTGATGCTAGGCGGATCTCTGTGAGTTTGAGGCCAGCCTGGTCTTCAAAGAGAGTTCCAGGACAACCTCCAAACCTACAGAGAAACCCTGTCTCGAAAAACCAAAAAAAGAAAAAGAAAAACTCACATATACAAAAGAGATACAATAAAGGGCTTCTTTTAAGAGAACGGATAAGAACCACAAAAAAGAGAAGGGCATATGGAGGTTGCTAAGACTGACAAGAAGAAAACAGCACAGTGTTCAAAGGGCTTGGTTCTTGCCCAACTTTCAGGCTTCCACTGTGGTCTTGGGATACACCGCCACACATAAGGAAGGGTTGGGGCCGACATTCAGTTGTTTTGGCACAGCTCTCTTGGTGATGCCTAGTCCCCACACTAGTCTATATAGTTCTATGTAGTCATGAGAGAACAATGAGGAAACGTCCCAGATCAGGATCAGCATTTGAAGACGGCTGAGGAACATGGTCCCTGGATGGGCAGGCGACTCTATAATCTCTCCTGGCTGCAAATGACTTCTGATGGCTATGACTATCAGTATGACAACTGCTAAGCACTCATAACGTTTCTTCTGGCGGTCCTCTTCTGTAATTGGCTGAATGTTCCACTTCCTGTGCCCCAAGTGGGATCAACAGACCTACAGTGTTTGCATCATATGTGACTGGGCCAGGTCTTGGTGCCTACATTTGAACAAGTTCCTTGGGCCTAGCCCTCTAACCGCCTCTCACAGAAAGTGGAGGATATAGCAGCTACTGTCTCTGACCTCTCCGCTCTGCTTGTGGTCAGAATCCTAGCACAGACCTGATCTGACTTCATCAGGCAGGTGCTCAGTGGGCCAGTAAGTGTCTGCTAGTCTTTCTTCTCTGCTGGGGAGTTGCAGTGACTTCAGTAAGGCACAGGTGTGATCATTTGCTGATAACTACCTTTTTGTGCTTTAACTCATCAGAAATTCTTTCCAAACTGCCTGAATCTAACTATGCTATGATGGTAGCTATAAGAAGGTGAAGAAAAGAAAATGCAATTGTCAAGGAGTCACATGCATTTTAGGCTTGCCATTGAGTGTACATTCCTTTTGGAAGGTGAGAAGTCAGACCTTTTGAAAGAGCACAGAAAGCGCCTATCAGCACTTGCAAGCACTAGGTCCATGCGTCATTACTACAAATGACGGTCCAGCTGTCACTCAGCCACTCTGGTCTCATCATCCACAGTGAGACCTATTTGGTCTTATTTATTATTCATTTGATCTGGTGACTTTTGTTTTCAGAGTTGGTCTAAAGTTTGTTCTATAAAACAAGCTAAGAGGAATAATGCTCCTTCATGCTTCTCTGTATATTTTGTTTCATGGAAGGTCAGAACTGAGGTGTTTGGGGTGGTGTAGCTCAATGGTTCAGCACTTGCCTAATGTAGGGCCCTGGAGTCCCAGAATTGTAAGAAGCAAACCAAAACACCAAAAGAACGAGAAATAGAAATAGGTTATTTCAAGAAGACCACATCAAAAACCCCATTATTAAAATGATGGGTTACAGGCAACCCTTAGAAAGCAGATATGACAGTTAACCCTCATTGTCAACCTGACTGAGTTTGAACATCAAAAAGACACAACACTGGATGTGTTTGTAAGGGCATTTCCAGAGAATTTTAACTGGGGAGAGAAAACACACCCCCAAATGCACCATTCATTTCATGAGCTGGGGTCCAAGAGCGAACAGAAAAAAGGAGGAAGCCAGTTGAGCAACAGCAGTCATGTGACCAGTCACTGCACACTGGGCAACTCAGCCAGAACCTCCTGACTGGGAGCCCGGCAGGAACCCTTCTTAAAGTTGTTTTTGTCAGATATTTTGTCTCAACATCAATAAAAGTAACAAATACATTAGCTAGGCTTCATTGATAAGCAGAGAAACTGCTGAAAGTTTTGAGAATGAAACAGCAGGTAAGTAAGACAGAGAGGAGGCATTTGGTTAATAAATAATAACAGGAGCTGTGGCCAGGACAATTTGAATCCAGGCTGTGGGGACAGCCCGAGGCTCTCTAGAAATTATGGCCCTGTTCAAAGGCTATAACTCAAGGAAATTTGCTTTTCACAAAGTGGCACAAATTTCTTAGAAGAAAAGTAAGTTTTGTTGCCGGAGGAGGCAGGAGGGTGGCACACCAAAGCTGGTTGCTATGAGATGGCTCTGAAGCTGCTATGGGGGGCCACACAGAGCCTCCAGGAAGCCTGCCTCAGAAACTAACTGTCTAAGCTCATTTTTGGAATTGAGAGAGGAAGCAGCTCTGTCCTATGTGTCTTCTCCACACTAAAAATTTGACAGCCAGCCTGAAAAGAGAACCAACAGTTCCTGAGGCCCCACCCACTTGGGAATCCCTGCTTCTTGTACAGTACAGGTGGACCATGTTCCAAACACTGTCCCTTAAAGTGATGATGTCAAAGCAGAGCCAGCAGGAACCAAGCATGCTGACCACACAGTGGCTTGGGGGATGGAGAACTCTAAGGGTGGCACTGGGAAGAACAGCAGGAGGATTCAGCCCACCATAACCAGGCAACTGCATGGCTTCTACACTCTGTGGGCTAGTAGTAAGAGCTGCTGGATAACTGCAGTGAAAGCCTTTTTAAGGTCGTAAAGGTAAACCAACATTAGGTACCAGGACTAGCAAAAGTTATTACAAGAGATGCCTCTGGCCTATCCATGAACTAAGCATAGACTCTCAGGGTGTGTCTCTCTTTAACTCACTCTTGACCACTTAACATTTATACTGATGAGTTGTTAAGGCCAGGTGCTTTGCTAATTTTTTATTGCCAAATTGTGTTTGTAGACATTTCTTGCTTAGATAGTGTACCCTTTCTTTTTTTCTAGGGCCCATAAACATGGCAAACAAGCACTCTGCAGCTGAGCAACACTCAGCTTGTAGTTAAAAAAAATATACCCCATGTTTTATGTAAGACACCTCTCCGGTAGAGAGCAGTGCTCTCAGTGACAGCTGGGCCCACTGTCGTGCAGCACAGTCCCCTGATAACCTCTGAGTCACTGACCTAGGATCTTTCTGTGTTAAACCATTAACACTGTGGTATCTTGGGGAGCTCCTGCCAGTGTGGGCTGAGAACCCACACCTGACTTCCGAACCTTGTCCGGGATATGAGTTAGCAAAGGTTTCACATTCTCCTCCCACAGCCTCTGAAGCCCCACAAATGAGCATACTCATTTCACTTTCCCCTGGAGTCAGCAATCCTAAGAATTTAATTGAAAAACAAGCAAGCAAAAGTACGACAACCTGTAGTATTTGACACTGATCGGAGAAAAGCAAGCCCCACCTCCAATGCGCACATGAGTGGAACACAGCCTTTAATGTTTACTAAATACTTATTTTTGGAGGTGCTGGGTGTGGAAGCCAGTCCTCACATGACACATGGTGGGCAAGTACGCATCTGCTGAACTGAGCCACACCCGCAGCCTAGACCTTGTTTTTAAAAATGTTGTAGGTAGGGAGAAATGTACATTCTCTTGGGATAAAGTGTTCTGGACTTGTGAGCTGTCTTCTGGATCCAGGCTGGCTAGCAACAAAGGAATATATTAACTGGCTGACACTGTTTAAACCAGAGAAGTACAAATTCTCAGAATCTGTGTCCTTGGAACAAAGTG